AGGGAAGAAGAGTACGTGAAGAAACAAAGACATGAAAAGAACAAAGTGTAGTATAACTACAGCTGAGACCAAGAACAGAGCCATATGAGCAGAGGGTGAAAAATCAGGCAGGGTTCTGAAGAGTAAGAGGAGCATAAAACAAATGCGGAGGGGCAGAATGAAGCTAAAGACAGCAAGCTTAGCCAGAAGAGCAAACAAACCTTACTCAACTGTGTTAACATATCTCTAGGTACCTTCAGCACTGAATAGTCTCACAAACAATAAAAATAGTTTATCAGCACACTAACAGCGTTACTAAAATTGTTGACACATAGGGTACTTGGTAAAAGTAGAGTATTAATAATGGCTTCCCTTTCCTCTAGTGCTCAACACAGAGGACTAGACAATGAAAAGGGCCAAAACAGATTCCCGGTTCTCTAGAGGTAGTATCCCTGGAAAAACAAGGCATCCTGGTGGGACAGGCTGGCAGTACTTGCTTTGCAAATAAGCAATGTTTACTTCCCCAGTTTAAGTACCAATAGCATGAGAATCCTCTTCACAGCCCCTATGTTTTCCTTCTGTTGCTGTCATCAGGCATTGTCAGTGATACAGGAAACAATTTTTTCAAATATCCTTGTTTGTCCACCAGCAACCACAAGCAATCACCAAGCGTGAGTTCTCAGTCTGTATCCTTCCTTTCTAGGACGAATGTGTTTTCCTTCTCTCCTTGTTTTGGTTATTTCCCAAAGCTCAGAGCAGCTCAGTAGCATATGGAAATGAAATTTGTTTATGCATTTCATCTTCATCCTCCTCTTCCTCATCTCCTTCGTGGATGGAATTGGCTGGATCATCTTGCTCAGATTCTGCCCTTGTCTCAAAGAGCTGCTCTTCCAGGAAGAAGCTCCCAATGCCGTATTGCTCATCATGCGCCTTTGTTTCTGCAGGTGAGAGGTGGGGAGATCCCAGAACAAAACCCGCAAACCTGCCAAATTTTTAAAGGGAGAAGTGATCAGCTGTGAAATGAAAAACCTACTTGTAAGTGCAGGGGATGCTGCCAATTAAGCAGGGCTGTTGTAAGGACGTGCCCGCCAGCAATGCAGATGAGGGGAAACTGCAGCATGAGCTAGGGAGCCCTGAACAACAGAGAGTAAATAGCAATGGATGGCAACAACCCTGAAGACTGGTTTGCCTGCCTCATTTCAGTCTTCAGTCTTTTCTATATAAGTAACTTCTGCTTTTCTGGAGGCCATCTGCAAGGTCTTGCGACTAAGCAAGATCAAACTTGGTTTTCACATCTTGTCAGTACTTACGGGGTAATCCAGAGCAAGTATTTGTATAGTTGGATAGACAGTACTTTAGCTTCTAAAAATAAATCAAAGCTGTGGTGTATTTGAGACAAAGGCTGTAAGAATTCAGGTAAGTTGACATTGCTAGTGAAAGAAAAAATGGTGAGAACTTTGCATTCCTACATTGCTGTCACCTTGCTTCTGGTGCTGCATGCACGCTCTGGGCAAGCTGAGCTAAAGTCTTGCCAAAGAATTCCTGCTTTTGGTGAACTTGGAGCTGCGGACTGGGAATTCTGCAGCTGCTCCAATAAATGCCAAACTGGAGATCTGGCAGAACACAGCATGAACTTAGCACTGTCCCTACATTTCAATTCGCCACAAATCTTACTTGCTATGGACAACTACATTAAAGAGGGGGAATGGAGCTGGAGGTTTCTGGCAGGCGTGTGGAAACAGACGGCAGTTCTGACACCCCGGTAAGTGTCGACAGCATCAGAGAAATGTAAGAAAAAGGAAATGCAGCTACATTCTGGAGTCCTGGTAAACTGATCAATAATTTACATTTCAGACCTCACATTTCTGTGAGATGAATGTTGTCACCTCGCTCTTCTTGGAAGCACTGTTAGTCTAAATGGGGAACAGCACTGGACTGGCTGTTCTACAGGTTTGCTGTGTGTTGAACTATCTTCTGATGCTTAATGGAAGCTTGAAGGGGTACTCAGCTTTAAGTCAGATTTCTGTTGGTTCTCCTTTTATTTTTTATAGTGGACAATTTATAGGAACTATATTAACTGATGGCTAGAAAATACATGTATCTCAAATGTTTGTTTTGTGCATTTGGTGGTATTTTGTTTTGCAATACTGCAGTGAGTTTTCACTTTTTATCTCTCTCAATCGTGCTACAGAATGTGAGTATCTTAGAAACTAAGATAGTAAATCTATAAAACCTGGCAGAGGGGCTGTCAGCATGCCCATCCAAGATGAAGGTTCTGAAACTAGTTTTAACTTTTTATTGATTAAATTCCATGCTGACTAGGGCTCCTTTGAAATTGTGATACTTGGTTCTGTGGCAAGGGCCAAGTCTTTGTGGCTAGGTAATATGTGAAACTCTGCTTCTGAAATCTTGAAGTTTTGGTTTTGACAGAAATATACTGCTATTATGATTAATTTTATATTCTGCAATATTTTCTGGCTGCATTTATCTGACCCTTCTCTTCCTAACCCATATTTCTTTCAAGTGTCTCTTAAACTGTATCTGGAGTAGCTCTTCTTCCTGTTACACATCCTAGGTGCAGGCACTGATTTTTCTTCTCTGTATTCTTAGTCTTAGGTATTGATTGATACTTCAAGTAATTGGATTTCTTGGCTGTGCATGCTTGCAGTTGGAGCTTAATGCAGGTAATACTTGAGTGTGTATCTTCAGCCTGCCCCAATTTTACACAATGCAAAAGTGTACTGCTCTAAAAACTGAAGAAAGGGGCATTGCATTAATTAGACAGCCACCTGAGTTGCTGTGCAGAGGCTTTGTAGGAAGCCTGTATGTTTTAGGGAAAGCTGCCATTACCATGAATTAGCTGCAAACATCTGCAAACTCTCAGAGTAATTTATAGTTGGAGAGGAACAAACAGGGGGTTTAATACCACCAGTAAGTAAGATCCTTGAGATGTGGCTATGATCTTTAGTGGGATTACTCAAGTAGATAAAGCTACCTGCACATCTGACTGCATGCAAGATAAACACACCTGAACAGTGCCTGAAGTTGCATTTGGGTCTGCTGTGTGACACCATCTCCCAGGTTAGAGAAGCCAGATTTTTCTTACCTGTGTGGGGACTGAAGCTTGGATACAGCTAACCATGATGGGAAGTCAGGGTTTTTGCAGAATGTGCGTAGCTCCTCCAGAGCTCTGATAGTTTCTGTTTCACCTTGTTCTCGATACTCCTCGTCAGTAAGGTATTTAAATACTAACTTTCTTGATTTAAAGTGGTTCTTCATTTTTCTAGAATGAAATGAAACCAATCAGTATTTCCAAAGTCTTCTGGCACATGATAATTGTCACCTTTTTCTCTACTACCTGCTATTAACATCCATTAATCACTTTTATCCCTTTAAGAGAACAAGCTACATTCTTGCATTAAAATTTTAGGACAAGGTGTCTAATATTTACTAGCCTGTTTACCCTAGGTCTTAACCAAAGTTGTAGAATTCCACAGAATGATGTCTAATGAGCTTCAAATGAGCGTTGGATCAGATCCCTATTGTGTATGCGTGGACTTAAAATCTCATAGAATTAAATAGATGGCTGCTCGCTCAGCCATTTTTAGGTGCAATATGCAAAATGCGTCTGTGCAGAGACATGGGCTGAATCAAAACCCAGTCTGCATATGTAACTTCAAAGATAAGCAATGCTCTAAGTCTGTTATGAGTTGTTCATGTTGTTTACTAGATAGCTTCTCTTAAATCTTGCTTTAAATTACAAAACTGAGTAGTCTGAGGCCAAAATGTTTACAATCTGATGTTTTTTTAGCTGCTGCGTAGCGATGTATAATATAATTAGATATCAATTAGAAAGCGTGCCATGTTCAGCTCCCTTCTGTCGACTGCTTTCAATTTAAATGTTATGATGAGTTAAGATAAGCAAGGGCTGGGTGCCCATAAAACTTTCAGCTCTATATAAAAACACCTGCTCCAACCAGCAGCATTCAACTTTCCTCCTTATTTCCCTGTAGAGGAGGAATGAACTGTAGCCCTTGTTCAGGTCAAATGGTCTTGCTGGCTCAGCGGGATCAGTCCTGAGCTTAGCAACAAATAACGCAAGATTCTTAGTTATTTTGCTGTTATCTGCTGCTCTGAACTGTGTATCTGGCATCATGACCTCAGTTTGGTCCTACTGCTTAGTGTTTGAAACAGAAAAAAAAAACCAACCCCCCCGGTACCAGTCTCCTAAGAGAGATCTGTAGAGCTATATTCCAGCGCTTTTTGGCTTTATGGATGCATCAGTTCATGAAAAACAAAAAGAGGTCCACGTGGAGAACAAACTACAGTGTTTCAGAGTAAAACAGGTACGTTCTGACTTTTGTGAATTCGTAGCCAAATTTTACTGATTTCAGAAGTGAGCTGAACCTGCTTAATCACTAAGTATTGATCCTATATGTTGCTTTTGAAACAGTTGGTGCTTCTCAGCTGCAGGCAAAAATCAGTTCTCAACAAATGATAAATTCTACGTAAAATAAAGCTTCAACCCAGTCCACATTTCAACAGCTAAAAAGAGCACAAGAGCAAAGCAGTATGTTCTTCAAAACTGAACAATGTGTAAGCAACTAAAAAAGAAATTATTTGTTTTTTATTCTTTTGGTTGTGCCGGTTCTAGCTGTTGCCTCTTCCTGGTTCTCTGCAGTTCAGCAGAAGTCCACAGCTACAGAACAGTCTGCACTACTCTTAATTTGGATGCCATCACTGAAGGTAAAAAAACCAGATGTAAATGGGCGGGACTCTTTAGAATCTTCATGACTATTGTATTTGTCATAAAATTCCTTCAAACTCAGGGGTGAGCAAACAAGTTGTTCCCATATTGTTAATGAAAAAACTTAGCAAACTAAGGTCTACATACTGCAAGCAGTTCCCATTCCAAATGCGGCTCTGGGAATACAGGGGGATGTCTCCACAACAGTAACAGATTGTTTCCATGAATTCAGGTAGACGTGTACATCTAGGATACTAACCTTGGAAAACTAAAATCAATGGAAACCATTATTTTTTGTGGACATGGGTGTTCAGTCTCTGAACTCTAGACTATCTAACCGACAAGGACTATCACTTTTTAACGTCTGCTTCCTAGGTGACAGTATGCTGTTTGATCCTGGAAGTTTCAGTACGAGTTACCTGCAGATTCTCTCACTACATGTTAATCAAGGCAGTATTGCTGCAGCCTAATCAACCAAACAGAAATGTTTTGGTTACCATATGCTGCAGAGTGGAAGGTGCTACATTTGTACTTCAGAGCACTGTCATGTTTCTCCATTCTCCATAGAACAAAACTTGTGCTTAGAACTGCCAAATGGAAAATAATTAAAATCCTGTGTCTCAGGGATTTAAACCTTTTCTTTACATCTAGTAAAAAGAAATGCATAAATCATTATTGAAGTGCAAGGGTTTTTTCATTATGAGCCGCCAGCATTTCCTGTTGATACAGGGACTTGGATGTTCACAAAACATACAAACCTGCCTATGTGACAAGCAGCACCAAGGGGGTAACAGAGGCCTTTTGAACAGAGGCTGACTGCTATTACTGCATATGCAACTTGAGGTATGGTGACACCACCGTAAATCAAGACAAAGGCTGTTAATTGTAGCGTCCACGTGAACAGGGTTATGTTCAGATCAGTGGTAAGCGGTCCGTGCTGATAGCAAGTGGCAAAGCTGGTAATTCCAACAGCCAGAAAATAGCCTGTAGAAACAGAAAAGAAGGATGTGGAGAAAAAGATGCAAACTACCCATGTAAACTTTATTAGTCTGGTTCACAACGCTTGCAACTGCTGTGAAGTTTAGCCTGCTGTTTCTTGTGTTGTCTTGCAGATACCTGCATCATGTTGTATGTGCCTTCTATTTCAAAAACGTGCAAAGAGTTCACGAGGTGATGTATGAACAGCCTTTAGCTAATGCTGTGAACTGCACATGAATTCTCCCCGTGCAAGAATGTGGAGGCAGGTGGCAGATCAGTAGATTTGTCAGCCCCCGCAGCCACATCCAGTTAGCAATTTATGCATCCATTTCCCAAATCCAGCAAAATACAAACCAGCGTAGCTGCCCTTTTGCTGTTACAGAGAAAGTATGCAATGGCAAATCAATGAACAAATAATACAGGCAAAATCTGCTCTTAAGGCTGCTATGGGTCCACTATATCAAACTCCTTCTTTAATGATACAATGTGAGTAAATGCTTATTTCAGTGGCTTAGGAACCTTTGGAATATTCCAATGTCTATGGCTTAGGAGAAAAAAAATACTCCATAAATGAGTCACTTGATTTTGTTTATGGGCAGGTATTCATCTAACCACTAAATTAAACCAAAACCTGCAGTACATTTTTTGATAATTTTCTTACCCAACAAGTAGTTTCTGTGTTCAGACCACAACCACTGCATATTCTCTTTGAAGCAGTAAATAAAATAGAGAGAGGACATCAAGCAGCCACTCACTAAGATCCAGAAGGTACTGTGCTGGAAGTGATAAAAAGAAAAAAAAAGTGAAAGTTTTAAAAAAAAAAAATCAAGTCAGAATCAGGACCATTGTGTGTAAGGGAACTCATAGGCTTAAAACCAGACATGATATTCAGGAGACCTACAGGGCTTATGATCTGTTCAACTTCCACTGTACAGTGCTCTGCACACTACAGCTAAACAGTATCAATTCTAAGTGGAGCAACTGCATCTCCGTATTTGTGTATCACATCCCAGTGGCATGGTATAAACCTACTGTAGTGTATTTCCAGTTAACATGTCTCAGCAATACATGTGAATGCACAGACTTTGTAAAAGTAAAGGAAAAATTCACATCTGCCTTGCAATGAATTGTCTCTGGTGAATGGAAGAGAATCTGTCCCAGTTGCCACTAGAACTACATTTTGATATAGATTGATTCATAGATTCAAAAGTGAGCTTAGCTCCAGTTCAATAAAAATAATTTCTGTTTCAGAATAAGCTCCTGTTGTATATCAACAATCTCCTGTTTACTTTAAAACTCAGGAGCAAACTAACTATAACTTGATTCTAACCCAATTATATTTACTTGATGCAAGCAATCCTGCAGTCGTTTCAGTGGAGTTACCTGGCCACAAAACCAGAGCAAAATCAGAATCTGGCTCTGTACTCTTCACTTCCTATGTTATGATGTTGATGATTACGATTTTATTTTATAAATGTAGATTTACCCTTGGAATAAACCTTTTAAGTGTCAGCAGGACAAAGACTGGCAGAGCAAGAACACCCAGTATTATTCCAGAAAGGTAAAAGAACTTGGTACTCCTGTAAGAGAACGAGAGAGAATATGGTGAGAAGTGTAATTTGTAATTGGTTAAGATGCCAACATTTGTAAAAACAGCAGTGATCTTCAGTAGGAACTTAAGACAGCTGTAAGTTAGAGTTGTAGTTACGTTGTTAACAGGCCCAGTTCAGATATCCGTGTAAAGAAAAATTCCCAACAAATACTTCAGGTCACTGGAGTTGTTCAGTGCTAGGAGATTGTGTTGAGGTGGTGTTTTTTTTTTAAAGCTCACACTATTTCTGATTTCATTGACCTCCTAGTTTCTGGTAATTTCATTTCCTTCTATGTACCCATATGGTTCCATACTGCAAGAAAAGTTGGGTTTTTTTAAATTTAAAATGTAAAAAAACCTCCATAAACCCACAAGTTGTTGTTTTTCCAAGCTTATGCCTTTATCAAGTCTGTCTTTTTTTAATTTGGAGTTAACTCTATAAAACCTATTGCTGCTCTGCTTGTTTTAGAGGTACATCCTGACAATTAATTTGTGACTCATTTTGCTTTGAAGTCATGGGACACGTGTTTTGCTGTACAGTAAGCATCCTCCCTTACATGCTACGCAAAACGCGCATCAAAAGAACGCTGGGGAAAGGCTGGCACAAAGATGCCCCAGATGACCTCACCCTAAGTATTTCTCACTGCAGGAAGGCATCGTTTATAATACATGCGGCGTTATTTAGCATTCAGCTAACCTCACTGGTCTACAAACAGGAGAGAGAATTTCTCTCGATCCACACGCTCGCTTGCTGAGGATTGTCTTTGTGTCACCCAGCTCGGGAAGCTTGGATACAAGAACCCTGACACAGATAAGTGATTAATAGAGTGCAGCACTCCAAGATATGTCACAATCTGTCCAAACACAAATGGTATGAAGCTTTAAATGTTCGTTCAGTTTCCTTATTTCACTTTCCCAAGGAACCGCCTCTTTAGCTTAGAAAACAGACCAATGATGCACAGGCTTTGGGAAAGAAGGTCAAAATCCAGGAGCTAGTACTCACCTGCTCAGGCTGTTTGCAAAATGGAACAGAAAAATTCCAGCTACAAACAAAAACAAGAGCTTTCCATCTAGCACTAAAAAAAGGGGGAAAGAAATAGAAACGGACTTTAGACTAATTCAATCTGAAATGTTGATTATATAAAATATCAACAGAAAAGTCCCAAGCTTCTTACAGAAGAGATGGTACATTCAGTAACACTGGCAATACCAATCTATCTGTAATCTAAGCTCAAAGCTTTTTTACTTACTTTCTCGTTTCACACTCACAGTGTACGGTTCGGTTTTGAAGGGCTGTATTTTGAAACAAACATCCTCTCCGTATTGTTTTATGCTTATGAAAGTTTCTGTAGATGTCTCAGGTTTCCACAAGATTTGAACAGCACATGCAGCAAATTCAAAAACCGTTTCTGAATTGCGACAGTTGCTCTTTTCTGAAATAGGCTCAAACCCGAACATTTCTCTGCTGTTAACTTTTACCTAAAAACAAACAACAGAATACACAGAGAAGCAGCTCGGAATCACTGGGGGTTTTTGTTTTTCTGAACTATATAGCATATAAGCCTTATGTGTGATAATGAAAATCAGTGTCGAGAGCTCGAGAATAAAGTGCTAGTGCAATTCTTTGTTGTTTAATATTGAGTGGTTATATTATGCAAAGATTAATTGCTTAGGTCTTGCAAGGTGATTCAGAGCACTCAATGTCAGCACAGTTCTATGAGGGGCCTCAGTCCATCCAAAAGCTCAAGGGGTTTGGTTTTACCAGGACAGGGGCCCACACACAAACTTCTGACAAAACCAGTAATATTTGACTGACCACAGTTTCTTTTGTGGATGTTCATATGCTTCCCCAGTCCCCTCCTGAACCATACGAAATTGGACTTGCTTTTCTCGTAGTTAATAATGCAATCTTCATGTCAGGGACAGAAGAGGGACAAGAAAAAAGAAATCATAACCAGAAATTAAAACGTAAGCACATTCCTGTTGGGTATTTGGGGGTTTTTTGCTACTTCACCCTCCCCCACCAAACTGTTAAAAGATCTTGTCGATCTTCTGAGATGGGATGATCTTCCTGAAGATTGTGATTCACTGTGAGCTCTTGATCAGAGCCTAGTAGACAACAAAGACCCATCTACAAAAAAGTGATGCAACAGGTAATAAAACAGGCTTCTACTGGGAGAAGAAGCAACACATCAGTAAGCAATTTGTTGTGGGAAAAATCTGAACTTCCTGCTTTTAAGCATTTACTCCAGGAAAGCTTGTGTGGCTGCTGGAGAGTTTCCCCCACTTGAAGTCTGCTACCATTCACAGAAACACCTGCAGCTTGTTCCTGAGGAAAACAGTCCTGGGAACAAAGAGATGTTCCACTTCCTTAGATCTGAGAGCAAACTCCTCCAACAGAGATGAAGTGAAACTGTTTCCTTCCCTTCCCTGGAGACATACTTCCCAGGAAAAAAAAAAAAAAAGAGCTCCACAGATAGCTTGTTCCTTTAGCTATTATTGCTTCAACTGTTACGATATTTTTATTTTGTTTTGAACTAATCTCTAAACATGTTTCTTGTATGATGACCCTCTTACTCAGAAAAACAGAAATGCACTGCTACTGCTGTTTTTTCATGAGTCACAATCTGATACACCTTTGGTTCCTACACTGTGGCCTGGTACGCTGCAGCGAGTGAGACACAGAACTGCATTTTATCCCCAAATTTAGAAGTTTTATAAAGGAGCTTGGTGATAAGCAAAAACATTTGTTGTGGAGGTTAACAGCAGTCCATTAGTAGAAAAGCTGCGCAACAGAATAATGCGCAACAGAATAATACGCAACACTCAGTTAATGTTTGTGTGGCATCACACTATAAGCCTGGCCGATATCCTTGTAATAGAGACTGAACCTCACTGCATCCCAAGTGGAGGATCACAATGCTGCATTTTTATCGTGGTCCCACCTAAACACTGTTCAAACTACTAATTACACAGAGATACTGCTTTCATCCTGCCAACTGATCGTACACTTTGTTGGTAAAAGTTCACGTGAAATGTATTGCATATCTGACTGATCCTCAAAATGGCCTCTTACCTGCAGAGTCGACCAAACGTACTGTAAGTGAATGGTTCTGTTTTGCACATAGCAGTAACAGTTTTCATCCTGTTTCTGGATGACATCCATTTCCTGCAAAAAGGTACAGTTTCTACCTGGGGGGGTGGAGAGCAGAAAAGGTAACTTTAAGCGTGTATCAAATACAAATGTACAATTTTCCTTCACTTCATTGTTCCATTTTATTGTTGCATATGCTGAGAGACTCACAAGCAATTTGCAGATAATCAAACGTAAAAACTATGCTGCAGGGTAGCGTGTTCAATATGATTTAGATGAAAATTCAAATTCGACTTCTAATCAAGTCACTTAGGCTCCAGAGTAAACTGCAACACCTTTGGGGGGGGGGGGGGAAAATAAAAAACATAATCCATAAAAGCTTGGCATCAGTATCAGTGTTTTGATGGCACTGGAGTAGGGCCTCTGGGCCAAATTCACTGCTGGCACAAGTGGGTGTAACTCCACCAGAGTCGATGCGTATACCAATGGTGAAGGCGACTGTGGGAGTCTGAGCAGGTAAACAGGCTCACATATTAAAATAGTCATTTAGCACATGACATGGCTGCTGATCGCAGAAATCATACTCCTCTCCCTCGGAGATGTTTCCAATGTTAAATAACACAACTCTTCTCTTTAAAACAAATTTTCCTGACGTCGTCCAGCCATGACATGTAATATGGCAACTGCACCAGGAGCTTGCCATAAGCCATTTAATTAGGGATGCTAATTGATTTAGCTCTCCTGAAATGTTCGTGACCCCCTATGATCTTTGAAATTAGATTGCACTTTTGAGCAGAAATACACCTAAAAGATGTATGGAGCAAACTTTGAAGAATAACATACATTCTAATCTATATGCACGTGTAAAATATACCCTACGGTGCATTACCACAGTGTTCCAGGAACATAATTAAAGAGAAGAATAAAGGAAATAATTACAGATCTGAACAGAGGGAATCATCTGGCTCACTGGATAGAAAACGTAGGTCTAAGCCAAGCTCAGTAATAACTGCTAAAACACTGTCATACACTCAGAACGGCAAAATGAGTATGTGCAAAACTGTCTCAATCTGGACACGGAGATTCTGTTTGCAGGTAAAAACCTGCCCTGTCTCTATAAGGAAGCTGAACTTAGGCTAAATTATTTTTTAACCAATTTAATTAAGCCAATGAAAAATACTTGTGTGGATGCGCTTACATAAGTTTATTAAGTCATTCCAGAATTAATGTGTCCACAGACGATCCTGCTAAAGTAAATGGGTTTAAACTTAACATTTGGGCATTTTTGTTGTGAAAAAATAACCATCTGATTAATTTTTATCCATGGCAAATCTGGTGGGAGGGAGCACAACCCTTCAGACAAGGGCTGGTTGTACCTCTTGACAGGCACTTCCATAGATGTCATCAGATGAAGTTGCAAAAAGATAATAATTTGTCTCTGAAAAGTCCCGCCACCTGACACGGCGAGCAGGTGAGGCTGGGCACTGCCCAGGTCCAAGACCACGAGAAGGCAGCGATAGAAACTGCAATACCCTAGCAGGACCAAAACACAGCCGAGCGTGCCCACGCCTTCCCTGCAGCGTGCATTAGGATTTTCTGCCACTACGGATAAACCATCCATCCACATCAGAAATAACATCCTCCATATATAATGCTACCAAATGGGGTTTTTACTACCCCCCCCCCAAGACATTTTCTTGAGAAAAATAATTTGCTTCAAACATGACATCAGCTCCATAGAGTAACACAATCACGTTCCAAACGGGAAGGTGCTTCTGCACAGGCAGCTGTGCGAGCACACGGAGAGGGCAACTCCCACGTTTTGGGGTTACAGTGGAGAGAATCGGCGTCTGCTGTAGAATCCGGAGGATGCCCAGGACTCGGCAAGGTCAAGGCAAGGGGGGAAGCAGCTTCCCGAGTTACGTACGGCTACTACGACTGACAATTACCTTTAGGGTTTTCACTGCCCTTGTTAATGAAAGATCTGTTCTGCACCCAATGCTCCTGAACCAAGCTAACGAGAAAGCCAGAGGGAGTACCCTGGCCTCGGGTCAGCCTCCCACGGCCGCGGTACCCGGCCTTCCACCCTCTGCCACGGAACTGACGGCAGAGGCGCTCGGTGCCGCTTTCCTCCGGGGCCAGTCCCCAGCGCCTGCCTGTCCCGTGAGGTACCGGGCAGAAGATGCTCGTGGGAACTCAACCGAGATGGGACAGGCAGGAGAAAACAGCGACGCGCCTCAGGGACGCGTCTGGCCCCTGAAACGATTTCAGCTCTCGGCCGAAGCGGGCGGCAGGCGGCGGTCCCGGCCTTCCCGTAGGGCAGCGCCATTTTGGGCAGAAGCAGCAGGTCGCGCTGTACCGGGGGGATGGAGACTGAGGGAG